CTCGATAAGGAAATTGCAAATAAAAAGCACAATGAGATGACATTCCACAAATTATCAAGTGGACAGTATTTTAAAGTCTGGTTAATGACACAGAGGCAAGGTTGTAGAACAATCGCAACACTTTACACTACTAGTAGGAATACAGTCAGTACAATTACTTTGGGAAAACGGTCTGACATTATCTGTAAGGCTGATGATGTGCATACCCTATGACCAGCAAATTTCATTCCTGGGAGAAAAACAGTGTGCATGTATGTGCATGTCACCCTTATCTTCACATATGTACTAAGAGACATGTAGAAGACTCATTCATAGCAACCTTTCTTTTATAACAGCAAAAAAACTAGAATCAATCCAAATTTCCATCTACAGCAGAAATAATGAATAAGACATAAAGGAATACTATACAGCAGTGAAATGAATGAACCACAACAATGAAATGAATGAGTCTCAGGAATATAATGTTAATCTAAAAATGCAAGTCACAGAAAAATACTCATTTAACTTGCATCTACATATAAATCATTATATATATAAATTACTTGATTCATATAAAGTTCAAAAACATGCAAAATTAAATAATTTTCAAAAGGATAACTCATGAGGAGAAGGGGACTGGTAAGCACAAAATTCAGGACAGCGGTTGCTTCAAATGGGATGAAGGGCACACGGGAGATTGAATGCATGATAAAGTTCTTAAACGAGGTGGTGGCTGCCTAAATATCCATTGGTTTGTGGTTCTGTAACATATCTTTTCTGAGCATTATTTTGTACATACAAATCACTAAATAAACAACAATTTTAAAGAAAGAGTGTATCAGAAGGGCAGGATATTGAATATACCAGGAGAATAGCTGATGACAGAAAACAAGAGGCCAGAGGAGAGCAGAGGGAGCAGAAGGGATCCTGCACTCAAAGCTTTAGCTTCCTGGACTCGTTTGCTTCTCAAAGCCAATGCTTCTTCTGGGGGTGGGGAAAGTGGGGACTGTTTTTCAACTTCAAAGGTATTTTAGAAAAGAACCTTAAAAAATTGATTAATCTAATAAACTGTAATAAATAGGGTTCTTCCACCCAAAATTTAGAGAACTTTTTAAAAGTGTTTCTCCTTTAAACAACTTAAAATGAGTACATCACTTTCTTCAACATCACTAGTGATGCAAGAGAAAAAAACATGCTGATACTGCAGCAACAGAGAAGACAAAAGATACTATAATGAACCTTTTGACATGGAGGTCCCCCTTAGCTGAAAAAGTAGAACAATTTCTCAATTTAATGTGCAGACAAATCACTTAGGGGTCTTGTTAAAAATGCAAATTCTCATTAGAAAGGTCTGGGTTGGGGCCTCTGCATTTATATCAAGGTCCCAAGGGATTCCATCCTGATGTTGCTGGTCCAGGAACCTCAGTACTAGGACAAGAGACATTATGAAGACACCTTCTCTGGTGATTTTAACAACAGAAGTGTGGGCATACCTAATAGTTTCATTTTTCCCACCAAGGTAAAGAGATTAATGATGGTATACCTACACTGTATTAACTTGGATACAGGACAATTACCAGAAAAATAAAAAGCACACTAAACTAGGTCTTTTGAAAAGAACAGGCGCTTTCAGAAAGAGCAAAGACTGAAAATTTACAGGAGAAATTCATGAGATATTTTACTCACCTCCACAGACCTACAGAAGTAGATTTTCCAGCCGGGATATTAGCCCTTTCCTTATGGAAGAATGGCTTACATTCCCAATAGTCTAGAAGGAGGACACCAGGACTATCACCATAAGAAAATCCACAGAACATTAATCAAAGTTAATTATAATGCAAATATTGGTCAGGGCCAATAATTACAGGAGCATCACATCACTTGCATGTAAAATAAATAAACAAATATATACTTATATATATATGTATGTATATATATATATATTTGGCTTTAAAATTCTAAGAATATGCTCTTAAACAAAAAGCTTATTATTTCAACAAAAACATCGAATAATTTCCACTAATCATGTCTGTTTGTTCAGCAGTAGTAAAATCCTTCCACCTCAAAATAGGACTTCCACATGTAAACCCATACTTTCATCCAGCAAGACAAAATAACTACTCAAACAAACTCTTCCAAGCAAAAACAAACTCTTCCAAGGAAACTCAGCCAATGCCAAGTCTCTACTAAGGATGTGTCACAAGTAGAGAGTGAGGGCTTTTCACTTGCTCCTACACCATCACAGACAGTTGCTACTAGTCTCATCCAAGAGATTTCCTTCACGGAAACAGGAGACAACCAAGCGACAGCAATTTCTTCACTGCCCCAGTACTTCTCGTTCCCTCAGATAAAGGTTTTGGTCAGTCCAGAGATGAGAGAGTTACAAAGAGCTTAACCTAACAGAATTCTGCACCCTGTGTGTACATCAGAACAGCTAAACCTCCTGTGACTTTCACACAGGATATTTTCTCACAACATAGGAAATCCAAAATGTCTGGATATCCATGAGAATGACACGCCCATTTTTACGCCATACAATTTTATACAATCAGCACAACAATGAAACCCAAGTCTTCAAGTTCTGTATTTTAATGATCCCCTATTAGAGAAACTAAAAATAAACCACCCAATTTGCACTCAGTTCTACTCTGCAGAGCCACATGAAATCAAATGCCACTAACTTGGATTCTTTGGAGATTAAAAAAAATAAAAGTAGGCATGCCCTTGCTTTGAAACACTGACCTTCCCCTACAGTTAGCATACTGACATCCCCTTTCTCACCTATACGTTTTTGAAAAACCGGGGATGACGCTTTAAATGTATCCCATTTGCCATCCCACACCGTATAAATGAATTGAAGAAGTGCCATTTACAAGGGATATTCTGTAAATAATAGCTCAGACTAAACAAATGAGACACTGGGAACAGCCTCCTGACCAGATAGATACCAGCCATAGATGCCTTGAAGGCCTGCCCTTCTCAAACCCCGTCCCCCAGTCACATCTGCAAAAACATGTATACAAAAGTACAAGCATAGTACAAACATAAATGCAGTCAGCTACCATCCTAATCCCATTTATCATTACTGGAGAATCAACTTGGTTATTTAAATCCATCTGAACACCAACTTGCCATCAATCATGACACTCACTTATCTAATAAACCTTAATAAAGAATCCAGATATTTGACTTACAGAAAAAAAGCGAATGATGAAAACAAATATGGGTTACAGAAATCATCAACTTGCATCAAAAATTTGTAAGCCCCTTTTAAAACAACCTACCGAATGTTAATATTTTTAGAAATGTCTCAGAAACATAACAACTAAAATATTATCAGTCGTTTCATTTCAAAAAATGGTTTCCCACAGGAAAAATTCACATTCTTTGTATTGACCAAACACAGGATACTAAGACATGCAATGTCATCATAACGTGAAGCTCTAATTAATAAACATCAACTTTTCAAATATGAAGAAATCGACGGAGAATTGGGGTTGTGGCTACAGATTACGGGTGATCCACAAAAATATTGACTGCACCACAGCCTCTGCACACCACCGGGCCGTGTCCTCCCTGCAGCCTCTCCCTAGGGCTCAGGGCCCTCGGTTGGAGATCAGGTTGTTATCGGCAGCTGCAGGGCGGCTCCCCCCCGCCCGCATTAGCGCTGAAGGACGCCCCTTCTTCCAAGACCAACCCCACTGGCGGGGTGGGAAGGGGTGACTCCAAAGAGAAGATCCCCACACACAGCTAGGTGACCTGGTCCTCTTGACGCCACATCCAGCTGAAGCAGCATGACAAGGTGAAGCAGCTCGAAAGCCCGGCCAAGGGCAGCCCCGGCCTGGGTGGGGCCGGGCGGGGGCCGCAGGCGCCGAGTGGCCGTGCCAAGCCCCGCCAGCAAGCACCAGAGGAGGCTGCGATACTGCTGCATTGTGCTGCATCACGGCGAGGGCACTGTGAGCCATCCATCTTGCCAAAAAAAGCACATCCCCGCACAAATAAACCCCACTGAATCCATTTTTCTCCTTCGTTGAAGCACCCCCACACTCGCCCTCTGCTCAGTATGTGGCCTGGCGTTTAACTGGAAAAACAAAAGTACACGGTTTCTGTACTGATCCCCACAACACTAACCCCCTCCCTATCTGATGACAGGCACTTGGCATTTTTCCTACCACAAAAACAAAGGGAAGCCCCCGCCACCCCAAAAATGAGGGCCGCGGGCATGGTGTGGGGGTGACAAGAGGGGCTATGAGCACACCAGCCCAAAGGCGAGCCCAGAGGGTCCCCGCGCCGTACAAACCTGTTGAGGCGAGGATGGCTGGAGCTGAAGGGCGGGCGAGAGGCGGCTCGGCGCCCGGAGGCGGCTCACACCCAGCCCTGGGAGAGTGGGGACAGCAGGGAGGGCGGGGGGCGGGCGTGAGGACGGGCGGGGGCGGGCGTGGGGGGGCCGGCGCCTCTGGCTCAGCTGCAGCGCGGCGCCGCGGAGACCACGCCTGGCCGCATCCCCCGTACCGCTACGCGCAGAGCCCGACCCTGTCAACACCGCACCCGCTCCCCAACAGCGGGGCTACAGGCAAGGCCCCCGAAAATATACTCTCCCTGCTGCCCACTCTGCAACCACCCCCCGCACCAGGGGCCACTGCGCCCGCCGGGAGGGAGGAGGTGGCAGAGGCAGGGAGGAGGAATCCGCGCCGCCGCGCGGGGAATGAGGCTGGGCGGCCGCCGTGCGCACAGCAGGTCTGCAGCCGCCTTACTGCGGAGGCTGCCACCCCCTGCTCCGTAGAACCCGGGTGCACATACCGGAGATCCGGTGTGGAGACCTGGATTCCCTGCGACCACCCAGCCCCAGCTCTGCAGTCTCCCCGCCCCCACGCCGCCCCCCGCGCGCGGGGCAGCGGCGGGCAGCAGCGTCCTCCCAGCCGGGGCCCGCGCCCCTCCTCCCGCCCTCCCGCCGCCCACGAGCCCGCCCGGGAGGCAGCCCCTATTAGTTGGCATCTTCCTGCCCCAGGCCCCCTACCTACCTCCCCCGGATAAAGGGTGGGGGCGCCGGGGTCCCGTCCTCCTCCCGCTCCTCGGCGGCCGGGCGGGTGGGCCGGGAGGCGACTCCGTGGGGCTGTCCGCGGCTGGGGCCGGGGCTCACAGGACGGGACCGGTGGGCACTGCCGCGCGGGGCTGCGCGCTCGCTCCGGGCGGAGAGGCGGCCGAGGGAGGGACTGGAGGAATCCGCAGCCTGCAAGGCAACAGCTGCACTGATTCCGGGGGCTGGGCGGGAGAGCAGGGCGGGGGGGGTGGGGAGAGGGGAGGGAACCCGCAGGGAGGGGGCGAGGGGCGGGGAGAGGGAGCGCGCGATCGCGGGGCCCGGGGGCGCGCACACGCTCTCTCCCGCACACCCTCCACCGCGAGAGGATCCTCTCTTCTCCGCTCCTCCCTCCCGGGTTCCGCCCGCTCGCCCGCCCTCTCCGCTTGCGGGAGCCCGGCAGCCGTCCGCCCAGCGCTTTCCCGGCGCGAGGGCCGGACCTCGAGCGCGTCCACGCCCTCTCCTGCCGAGGCTCTGTCCGGGCCCAGCGTCGACCTTGTCCGCTGACGCGGGGCCTGGCCTGGGCAGGTGGGCACCGCCGCCGCCGTTACCCGAGCGAGGGGACAATAGGGTCTTTGTCCTCACAGCCGGCTGCGGCCACTCTCACGTTTAATTTGAAACTAATTCAATTATCGCCCTGGAGAGGGGCAGCCTAATTTTCTATGTGAGTTGTGCGGCCGCTTTTTGCCCGCGATGTTTGCGTTTGCAACGCGATGGAGAGAGTGGGTTGAGAGAGGTTTTAGAGCGTCGTTTGGTTGGTTTGGTTTTAGATCTAGGTGATGCCTTATAGGTTCCGCCCAGCCTGATGGAGAACAACTGTGACCTCTCCCTGGTAAACCCGGAGCCATGGAGAGAGGTGGGGGGCGTTCCTTCCGTGTTAGTGCTCTCGCACCCTTTTCCCTAGGGATAGCGGGGAACAGACTATACAAGTGGAGTTAGTCCAAATCCTGCTTCTCTTGGCGTTAACTGCTCACTTTAACCTGAAGCCGGTGCTCTTCCCGAGCCACTCCTGGGGAGTGGGGTCATCTCTACATACTCTGAGAAGGACAGCGAATGTTTCCTTGAGATTTTGACAAGTGCCAGCGCCCCTTCTCAGTCAGCTTACCCACCCTGTCAATCTCCCAGGCTGTGTAGAAATTCTGGCCACCGCTCTGAGGGAGAAAAGATAATATCCTTAATTGGACAACTAATAGAAACGCTCTTTAGAAAGAAGAGCCTGGAGAAACTGACTTCCTACCTGCTGTCTGTAGAACTGACTTTCTGCCTGATCTTTTAGGTGTCCAACATCAGGGCCCTTCTCCAGGATTCTTCTGGGTTGGAACCTGACCTCTCAACCCCTTATTAAAAGACAGAAAAGGCAATCAAATAGTTTGGATCATGCTTTTATCTCAAATCAAGACCTGATGAGCTTTACTTTTGTATTTAGTTTTTAAATAAAACTACATGAAACTGTCCCAGTAAAGTGTAGATGATTCTTCCTTGTAGGCCTCCACCATCAGTTTGAATGTCCAATGTTGACTTGATAAATATATTAAAAACATTGAAGAAGGCAAATAATTTAACATTTTTCTCAGAAGATTGGTCAACAGAGCCAGAGGGTAAACTCTCCAAGGGTAGAGGGTTCTTTGTTCACTGTTTGTACATAGCAGGCACTTAGGAGGTGCTCAAAAAATATTTGTGGAATTGAATTGAACAGAATCAACATATAAGGAGCTGCCCTCATTAAGCAATGAAGGCAATCCACTAGAAATGAAAGTTTATTTCCCTTTCACTTATTTTGTACCATGGCTCCCAGCACCTCCCCACGCAAAATATTAATGGAATACCAAAGAAAATAATGATAACACTGGAAAATGCCTCACTTTAAATTCTTCCAATGTTATTCTGGAACAGTGACTATTAACTGCTTCCTTTATCACAGATAACAGCACTCAAATAAATCTTCATTTGATGGATGAGTCACCTTCCCTTCCTCATTCCACTCCCACTCACTTTTACAAAATTCCCTTCAAAGAAGGGGGGCCACTTCCAACTTTAGCAAGGGAGTCTAGTAAAGCAGCATTAAAGATTCTAAAAATGTAAAAGATGGGAATTCATAGTTTCACTATAAATACCTGCCTCACAATTTTAAATTCTCACCCATGGGTGGAAAAAAAATCATCACCCCAGGGGAGCCCAGTGTAACACCAAAAAAAGGTAACAGGTCAAAGAAGACACTCTAAATATGGAGAGATTATTGGGGAAAATATACACCTCTGTAGAAGGCAAGAATCCAGGAAAATATGAAAAGCCTTAGTAATGATTATAACTCAGAAGGATTATTCTGCAATATTTCAGAGGCAGCTTTGCTGAAGCTTATCTTTACATTAAAATCAAGGTGATTTAAAGGAACCTAGAACTCATCAATATCATGCCTGTACCATACTACACTACTACTCTCCATTTTAAAAACTATGTGATTATATACGGCTTTGTCTCCCATAAAATGGTAATTTATTACAAAATTTTTGCTGATATAAATTGTTATTTTAACTTCCCATGCAAAATGTAGGGGAAAATCTTGTCAACAAATATATTAGTTACTAGAGTCTAGGTTATGATATTACAACACACAATTCCCACATCTCAGGATATTATACAAGTCCCAAATCAAACAAGTTAATTTCATTGCTGTTAAAAAAACACAAAAGGCCCAAAGTGGAGTCACTTTCACTAAACCCCACCAAGACTTTATACCTAACCTAACTGTAATTTCAGCCTCTCCCAAGAGTGGAATTTTAAACCAATCAATCTGGTCAGTACTAGTGAAATAATCTGCCTGATAAAACCCTCTGCCTTCCCCTAAGGGAGGATAGCCTTGCCGGCAATAATCCTCTCTTTTAACTTTCTTATTCCACCCTCCTTCTGCTTATAAAAGCCTTCCATTTTTGCACAACTCCTATGAGCTCCCTTCTATTTGCTAAATGAGATGTCTGATTCATGAATCATCAAGTATAGCCAATTAAATCTTTAAGTTTACTCAGTTGAATTTTGCTTTTTGACATTGCTTATATAAAATCGACTGTGGTTCCAAGAGTCTCTTAAAAAGCTTCTTCCATGGGTCAGTTTGGTATTCCAGAATCCTTTAATATTATGGTACCTTCATGTCAGTCTGTTCTTCCACAATCTCCATTGTAAGGTAAGAGTGTGATGGAAGGTTAAGTACCAGCAACTGAATACTTTCACTCAGATATGACACAAGGTTACCTCCACTCACATTTCTTCTGCCAAAGCAAGTCACACGGCTATACTCAAAGCCAGGTATTGGTGAACAGTAGTATTGTCTGCTACTGCCTGTTTTATTTAGAAAAGAAAGAATGGTACTTTGTGCAGTAAATGGAAATTTTCACCGAGAATGTTCAGCATTTCCCACCTGGCCTTAGTCCATTTATATACCAATAGGTGTTTTACCACAGTAGAGCCTCCGAGAAAATGGCCATTCTCTTCTCCCCTCCATTCCTGGTAACTAATTTGCCTGATGCCAGTCACCATGGCCTCACCCATGGAGTTCCCACCAGAAGGGGTGGGCAGGGGGAAGAGCATGAGCAGTAGCCGGAGGGGACAGTTAGAGCTGGGCCTGGCTAGCTAACTCAAACAAGCTGTGAGCAATAAAAACTCTCCCAACCTGCCCTTCTCCTTGTCCTACTTTGCTCTCATTGGATTTATAGGGAATTTGCCTGGGGAGGGGATCCTTCTTCCCCCAGAACTACATAATCTAAGTATTTCTTTGGTTATATTAAACTTACCCAATTAAAATCCATCTTTTGTTGCACTGATAATAACCTAAAATTTTAAAATCAGAAAACATGAATACATTTTTTTCATTTCTGTTTACTCCTAAAGTTGACTTCCTTTTCAACAGTGAACTAGTCTGGGAAGCTTCCTCATTAGAAATGTTTCACTTGGGGTTTCACACATACTAACTTTCCACAGGGAAAACCTAAAGACATGTATTTGAACTATAAGAATTATAATTGAATACCTTTTGAGCACTAATAAACACATTTCATGTTGTATAAAATAATTCACTCTGTCATTTGTTCAAGAAATACGTATGCCTTAATCTATTCTAGGCTCTGAAATAAATCAGTGGGCAAAACGGTAAAAAAGTCACTGTCTTCATGGATCTTCCATTCTAATAGAGGATACAATCAATCAAGAAACAAGTGAAATATATGTATGATGATAAACCTGAATATATATTAATATAAATATATGGAAATAATATTTATCAAATGATTGGAAATAGGATAAGAGTCAAGATGGCAGTGTGAGAGGTGAGACAGATAACTCCTCCCCAAACCACGTATATTATGCAAATAAAGTTAATACAACTAAACCTAAAAGAGCAACAGAAAAGAAGTCTGCACCAGACTGCATACACCTGGTGAACAGAACGGACTCACAAAACAGGGTAACGTACCAAAGCCTTGATCCGGGGGGACCAAAGCCCTACCCCCACCCCAGCTCACCGGTGGGAGGAAGAGAAACGGAGCAGGAAGGGGGTGTAAGCCTAAGACTGCTGAACACCCAGCCCTGAAGATCTGCTATGGGAGCACAAACTTACATTGCATGGTGTGCTGGAGATTAGTGGGGTTGGAAAACTAAGACAGGTGGAACACTTTGAGAAACTGAGATTCCAGCCATTTGTGGAGGACAGGGATCCACATCTGGCTGATCTTGGACAAAGGAAAGGCGGGTGGTCTGACAGGCTTCCTAGCAGTGAGAGGGCTGCTAAAGGGGCAGGATTTGCATGGAGCTTGTTGCACAGGAGAAGGGCTACATGGACAAGGTTGTTTAAGTGTGCTCTGCCCCGGCAGATTGGGAACTTTCAGGAGCTTCAGGCACTCCATCCTCCCGGTTCACTGCTCATCTCTGAGGCCCACAATGTGATATGCAACCCACTGCGCCTTCCTTCTGGCCTGCCAAGACTGACTAGCAAGCCGGCAGTCCCTGCCCTGGCGACAGGCCAGCCAGAGGGAGGCTCCACCTATGACAGCTACACACCCAAAGCACTGAGTCTTACACCTGTGTGCTGGCCAACTGATTCTGACAGTGGGTACAGGCACTGCAACCGGAAACAGGAAACAGCTCTTTCCTCCCCCCAGGCACC